TTTCCGCAAATTCGAATTTCGTCGCCAGTGGGATTCGAACTCTTGTCCTGCCGCTTGGGGGTGCGACAACTTACCAATTACACTAAGTCGCCACATCCTTTTTAATATTTTTACATCCTAAATATAAACATAAATAATTAGTATAAAGTTTAATTTAGTTTATTTGTAGTACTATATAATTTTTACAATCTAGTATAGGTTTAATAGTGCTATCTTTGTTTTGTTTTGTTTTGTTTTGTTTTATTTTTTTCTTTTTGTTATTTGTTTTGTTTAGTTTTATTTATTTAGATAAACCAAAATTTGATATTAAGGTATTTTTCTATTTTTCTTTTACTCTTTGTATTTGTGTTTATACTTTATTTTATAAAAAGAAAGTTAATTCTAATATGGTGTGTGGCACCAGCCTATAACCAAAGGATAATCTCTAGTAAGTTAGGAGCCTAGAGAGAGGCTTGAAGTTTATTGAGGCTAGTCATCTTTGGTAAAAACATAGATAAGCTGCTTTGTAGTGGATTAGTATAGCTATTATTAGGAAATATAAATTTTTTAATTTAGTTTAATTTTAAATAAAAAGTGGCAGAATAGCCGAATTATAAAAAAATAAAAACCTAACTAAGAAATAGAGTCAAATATATTAAGTAAAAATGTTTAAAACTGAGGGTGTAGTGACTTAATGAAGTTGATAAGTTGTTACATCCCCAAGTGACTTGTTGGTCAGGAGAGGTCTGAAACCCACTAGCAACAATTTTTAAAAATTCTACTTGTATAACAGCTACTATCTTTCATCAATCGGTTAGAATGGGATCTCTGTAACCTTGGTGGCATCAACTTGATTGGAAGATCATAGAGCATTTGTATTATACATGAATTATACAAAGAAAGTTTGTTGATCATATTAATCTGAAGAACCGAAAAGATGAATGCCCACTTGGTAAGACCTGAGTAGAGAGATAACACAGATCTTCAACAGTACTATATAAAGAACTATTATTGAAGGAACCAGTAAATACTGAATAGAACTGAAGTATATAGCAAAGCACTCCACTAACTAGGCCACTAAGGCTGGAGGAAAAGGATCTGCTTGATCGCAGAATACCAGAGGACTAGTAGATTTGTGAGCAAAAGTCCCCTCTGAGCCAACTAGATTGGGAGTTTGGAATACCGAATGATGAGTATTTGGGAAAATACTCCATCAATCTGGCTACTGGAACCAGAAGAAAAGGATCTGCTTAATCATAGAATACCAGAGAACTGGTAAATCTACAGGTGAAAGTCCTCTCTGGGCTATCTGAATTGGTAGTTTAGAACTGTCAGGGGTATTGATAATAGTCTGTAAAGTAGGTACTGAGATTTGGGTAAACTCTACAAAGGCAGAAGTAGGTAATGGTATTGGCTTTGGCTTACAAGTACTTGTTCTTGGACTTAGTATAAATTACTGAAGTTTAGGTTAACCAGATTGTGTGTATGAAAAGCTCTAGCAATAATACCTCAAGAATAAATTAGTCCTAAGGCTATGGCATGCATCTGGAACTTCTTAACTGACGAATATAATAGAAATGTTCTGGTGATACAAGTGAGTTGTGTATATTACAGAGTGTTTAATAGGTAATCCCCTAGTTGAGTTATAGGTATAGCAAATAGTGTAATCCTTATAGTATACTGTTGCAAACTACTTAAATAGGCAATCAAAAGTTGTATATATGGCTACTTGTACTCTCTAATGTAATTGAGGTTCTGTTGTGAGCCTCCTGATCCATTATACTTAAATAAAAACCTCCATACCAAAGAGGCTAGTTAAAAAAAAAATGGCTAGAACTTTTAAAACCTTGTATAATTTAAAATTATATTAAATCTGACCTCTATTTTGATATTAAATTATATTCTAACTCTAAATTTTAGCAAAAAAACTATTTTTATTAAAAATTAGAAATGAATATCAATATTGTTATTATTATATTTTTATGATAAATAATAAAATAATAATTTATAATTAATAAATTTTTAAAGTCTAAAGTTCAGATAATAAAGTTTTAGTAACAACTTGAGGATTTCTAATGTTGTTATTTATAATATCTAGTGAGTCTATTACTAATAAGCACTATTATTAAGTTTCGAATAAATAGTGAAAAGTTCTATTTTTTTATTTTCAAATTTTACAAAGCAAAATGCTTCTATATTTTTTTGTTGAATCCAAACTTTGTCTCTAATTTTAAATTCTTCAAATCTTAGTTACTTATTATATTTATTTTTGTTTCTTTTGTAATTTTTCTGTATTTTTTCTGGTTTGCTCTTGAGTTTCTGTTAACTTGTTTATAAGAGTAAAAGCTCAGATTAAGATACTATCTTCTAAGTTTATTTTTGTTTCTGTTTTGATAGTAGGAAAAATTATTTTTATTAGTAAGATAGCTTGTCTTTTATATATCAACTAGAATAAAATATATTTTATAGTAGTATGTTTTTTAGTTTGGTAGATAAATAATACTACATACAGATTAAAATCTCAGTCTTTACTAGTTCTTACTTTTACTAGTAATTCATACAAAATTCTATTTAATCTTTCTACCATACCATTAGTTTGGAAGTAATATAATAATGAAAACTTATACTATATAAGAAAGTTTTTAAATAAGACTTTTATAACATCGTCTTTAAAATTTGATTCTTGATCAGAGAGAATGATTTTGGATATTTCATGTCTACATACTATTTCTTTAAAGATAAACTTTGCAAAAATTAAGGCTACTACATCTGGTACAGCTTGAGCTTCTGACCAACATGTTAGATAATCTGTTGCAACAATAATATACTGATTGCTTTAAGATGTAATAGATAGAGATTCTACCAAATCGATTTTAATTTTTTCGAAAACTTGTTCTATTTTAATAGAATATAATGATTCCTTTCTTCTAAATATGTTTTTTTGACATTGTATGCAAGTCTTTATATATTCTTTAATGTCTTAATATATCTAATCTCAATAATATCTTTCTGCAATTTTATGGTAAATAACATCTATTTCCAAATGTTCAACAATAGGATGACTATGCATCATATCTAGGATAGAGTCTACTTCAGTCCACTTAATAACTCTAAATGATTTGACAAAGTCTTGATTGTTTTTCTTATACAAAAGTCCATCTTTAATCATAAAGTATTTAGCCTGATTTTGAAGTTGTTTCTGTTAATAAGTAATAAAGTTGAAAAGAAAACCAAAAAATAAATTAGAACCATGGGTATAATAAGAAAAATAGAACTATGTACTGTAAGTTAATAATGTTGATATCTGTATAATAAACTGCTAGCACTAGAATAACAAAATTATTAACATTAATAATTTAATTATTAAAATTAATACCTCCGGCTGTGGTCTGTTAAAAAAAAAAATCGCCGAAAAAAAAAGCAGATTACATCACCCGGAAATTTTGTGCCCTGGTCGTGATATTTTGCATAAATGATAATGCCATTTTATGACATGATCATATCACATGAACAATAACAAGAAAATATTGAGAAAATATTTTGATCTAAACCAGTGATTATTTTTCGCTGTGCGGACTGCACACTTGTAAACAGTTGCTCTTAGTTTTTCTGTCTTCAGAAAAAGTTTCTAAATTGTCCGCACAGTAAATTTATAACTGAAAAATTAATGAATATTTTGTATAACTATTAAATTTCAAGTCAATACACTTTTAATATGTTTCTACATATTTCTATTATCTTTTTGACTTATTAAACAGTGCAGGATAACCTTTAAAATTAATCGACAAGCACCATATTATATCAGTCGGCTTATCCGGCTAAGCCGGTTTAGTCGCGGCTGCGGTACTACGTATTCACCTGATTTCAATAAATTGCATTAGCCGGCTTAAACGACGTACGTACGTATATGCGCTAATGGATGAATTAATGTTAATACATGGCACTAGCGCATGACGATACGCTGTTACACATGAATTAAATAACGGATCATAGGGTCCGTAAATATATTTCACCATATGGTGATCGATAGTAAACACAAGACTTTTAAAAACAAAAAAATGAATGTATGACTACTTAATTTTTAAACCATGGCAAGACTCTGTGCTGAATGCAGAATAAAAGAGGTTTATATTGAAAATGGATATCCCACTGAATTTTGTTCTCACAATTGTCGAAAAGCTGCGGTAGACAGACGTAAGTTGTCAAAATTTTCGATTGCTTCGCTATTTACATTCTAACATAAGAAACTAACATTATACTATGTTTATAGGTCATGTTGAAGCTTGTATTATATGTCATATATATCCAAAAGTTTTGCTACAAAATGGCACTAGGTCACCTTTTTGTGGAAAAAATTGTCAAGCTAAAGCAACAGCGTACGGATCGGGGGCACAGCCAACACGGTATACGATTCCTGTAAGACCACCACAGATTCAGCCAGTATTCCGACCAGTACTTGTATCTTCTCCCGTATCTAATATACCTAGCCAAGTTATAAGTGTGCCACCGCCACTTCCAGCTAGACAGCCTGTTGGTACAGTTAACGTTGCCCGGCCATTTCCAATGAATCAAGGACAATATATGTCTCCTGTGTCTTCTCCTATGTGCGTTCAATGTAAAGTAAAACCTCGTTGGAGAGATCAAAATACTGGACAGCTTTCTCCTTACTGTGGAAAAACTTGTAAAGAAAAGGCCACAGGTTAGTAAGACATATCATATATTCTAAACAAAGGAATTACTGTTTTAAAACATTGATTTATGGGTAGGAATTTCAAGGATGTCACAAAACTATAATGCGTTTCCGACAACCATTGCATCTAATGGTATTCCAACACAAATAGGTATTCAACAGCAACAGGCCACACCATTAAATCTTTATCAAACCACACAAGTAGGTCCAGGTATTCAGCCACAACCCATACCAATAAATCTTCATCAACAGACACCGTTAGCTGTTCAACAGACTACACCATTTATTAGTGTTCATCAGCAGCCCACTCCAGTTGCAGGTATTCAGCAACAGACCACTCCTGTAAGTGTTCAACAACAGGCTGCAGCAACAATGAATATTCAACAAAGGAATTCGTCATTAAATGTTCAGCAACCAGCAAATGTTCATCAGCAAAGGAATTCAGCAAATATTCGTCAACGACCAATTTCGCAACAAAGTACACAATCAAATGGTCGTAATCGAGCGCGAAATTCATACCAGAGTGGATCGTATCAGGATGAAATGTACCAAGATAATGAGTACCAGGATGATGACTACCATGATGATGGGTACCAAGATGATGGGTACCAAGATGATGGGTATCAAGATAATGAGTATCAAGAAGATTATGATGATTCATTAACCAATGGTCGACCTATTCGTTCACCACCGAATCAACGGCCAAATCAACGGCCGAATCAACGACCGAATCAACGACCGAATCAGCCGAATCAACGACCGAATCAGCCGAATCAACGACCGAATCCACGACCGAGTCCACGACCAATTCCACGATCCAACAACCAAAGACCAACTAGCGTTCGTTCTCGAAGTTCGCAAACATCGGTTTCTTCTCAAGGTTCACAAACGTCCGCTACTCGGGCGACAGATCCGGTTGACGACGAACAGTCACCACCGTTACCTCCTTTAGGGACTAAGCCACCACCATCGCGAGTCCGACCAGCATTACCGGAGTTACCGTCGGATCATCCTAGGGGACTCAGAGAAGAACTTGAAGAAGAACTTGAAGAAGAAGAGGATGAGGATGAGGATGAGGATGAATATGACACGCTTCCTGCTAGTGATCCGCCTCCAGCATATACAC